ATCCGATACGGTGAACCGCGAGGCACTTTGGCTGGTGTTGGATACAACAACAACAACAACAACAACAACAACAACAACAACAACAACAACAACAACCAGCAACAGCAGTACAGCAACCGTTTGAACTGATGCTTCGCTGCCATATAACCATGAGGACCTATTAAACAAGGAATAAGAAGAGGGAGAGAAGGGGGACTTACATGAAAACCTTAATGCCCTCAGCAAACATTCAGGGTCAAGGCGCCTACACCTTGTGTAGACAACTTACCGTCACAAATAGCTGACTATCGTGCAGAGATAAGGCAGAATGGGCGAGACCGCTTCCCTGCGGCTTTCAATGACCCCAATCATAATCAGCCATTGAATTGCAGACAACTCAGCACCAAACACATTTTAAACAGACAATCCGACTAGGAGACGGCAACAGACGCACCACTGGTATCGGTTGCATGCCATGTCCTGTAAAATCGCGAGCCAAGCACAAGGCGAGTCACGTGGACTCCAGCCCGGAAGAGGAGACGGACAAACGGCACCCAGTTTGGTCGTCAGTGACTTCATTTCTCGCTGCCAAGTCAACTTCTGTCCGCCTCGAGCTTTGCGCCACCCTACACCTGGTAGACTGAACAAGGCCCTCCTAGGTAAGCGGTGACGAGGCATACGTAGCACGTGCCCGAGCCAACGCAACTTATTCAGTGCTATCTGTTGTTTTAGGGAGCTAGCATGAATACCACTACCTAGTACTTGCTTACGCACATCATTGTTGCGGACACGCTGGTGCCATCTGACACCAGCAATGCTTCGCAGACAACGATGATCAAAGACTTGAAGGCGCCTCAGATCTTCAGGCCGAATGGGCCAAGTCTCACTACCATAGAGCATAACGGCTCTCACTGTGGCCTTGTAGACACGGCCTTTCAGACGGAGGGAAACTCTATTCTGTGGCCCTAGATGCTGCAGGATCAAGAAGGCAGCTCTGACCTCTGCAGTGCGTGAGCTGACGTCAGTTTCTATGCGTCCATGTTTGTTGATGCAACTGCCAAGATAAGTAAATTGATCAATCACCTCGAGTTCCTCGTTTGTAAGAGTCAATGGCTCATAAAGTAGCTAGTGGTCCTGCAGCAACACTTTGCACTTTGAAGGTGCAAAGTGCATATTACTTAATGGGACCACTCTAGACAGGCTATGCTGGGTTGATGGTGCCGCTGCAACATCGTCAAAAAGTAAAGCAATATCTTCCGCATAATCAAACTCTACTAATGTTTCACCAGGCAGCACTTAAACGCCTACATCGTATGATTCCGCAAGGGAACATTCCATGATTTGAATCCACGACGAAATTGAACAAAATTGGGGGAATCGGAAAACCCTGATGAACGCCACTTGGGGTCGGAAAGCTATCCGACAGGCCACCGTAGACCCTGACGCGGTCTGTAGTGTGCGAGTACATAGCACGTAGGATGTTCATATATTTCGTGGGAACACCTTTCCACGCAAGTATTTCGAACCGAATCGATCGATCGACCGTATCGAACACACTCTTGAAGTCAAGGAACACAGTTATTGTCGGTCTGCGATATGCGTGGCACTGCTCTAGCACCTATCGCAATGTGAATATGTGGTCTATACAGCCACCTGCTGGGCGGAAACCTGCCTGTTCTTCCCTAATCCGAGATTCCCGTTCCACTATGTGGCGACGAACGAGAATCGAGGCCAGTAATTTGGTAACAACTGACGTTAGGCTAATACCCCTGTGGTTAGAACAATCTGTGCAACTGCTGTAGCGCCCAAAAAGATAACTCTTATCTTTCGTGTACAATTTACTTGTTGACCGATTGTACATTACTCCTTCTTGTTTTAATCTTACAACCGGCTCGACACACAACTGCCTTGTAAGTTCCCGCGCTCAAGTGTACGCTCTTGCCTCGCTTCATCCGTCCGTTTCTTGTTGTAGTCCCGTCGAATACAGTCCGCTGTGTCCGACTCCAATTGCCTTCTGATATCCGCGCTTAATTCCGCGCACCGTCTCGGACTAGTATTAACTAGTCCTACACTGCCCTTCTTGTATAAAACATGACTTTTCACTGGTGTTGGATAAGTTTGGTGATCCGAGTAGGTTCGTAAGTTTAATTGAATGTCTGCACAATGATATGCGAGCGAGGGTGCAGCTGATTGGGCAGAGCTCGGATGACTTTGATGTTGTCTCTGGTGTGAAGCAAGGTTGTGTCCTAGCTCTTGCCCTGTTTAATGTTTACCTTCAAATAATGATATCCTGTCCTTTTGATATTGCTTGTAATCACGGGGTTCGTGTGGAGCAACGTATTGACGGTGAACTGCTGAACATCCGTCGTTTCGGGGCGAGCACCCGAGTGTGTAGGAAAACTGTCGGTACGTTGCGGGTTGCTGACGACCGTGCGTTGTTTACGCACAGTGCGGATGAGTTGCAGCTCATGACTTTTGCCCTCGCTTCAACAGCGACCACATTCGGGCTCGCCATTAACACAAGGAGGACCGTCTGTCATTACCAGCCTTCACCCAAATCCAAGTTGGCGACGAAGTGTTGGAAGCCACTCCGAGATTTGGATACTTTGAGAACGTATTATCAACCGACCTGCAGATGGCGAGCTAGCTGCACATCCGTGTATCGAAGGCGGCTGCTGCATTTGACAAGCTGCAATAGCACGTGTGGAACAACCACCAGCGCACGGTCGGGACGTGGCTACTGGTATTCAACTCAATGGTGCTATCCGTTCTTCCGTACGGCTGCGAAACCTGGCAATTTTCTCGAAAGGATATGCGTTATCTGGAGCGCTTCCATCAACAGTGACTGCGTTGTATTCTGTGAATCGGCTGGGGTGGCCCGGTTGCAGACGCAGAGGTGCTCCGACGCTGTGGTATGTGTGCATTGGACTGCTTACTTCTGCTGAGGCATCTGATGGGGCTCGGGCATATTCGGCGCATGGATCGGACGCGGAAACCGAAGCAGCGGATTAATTTCCAAATACTTGCAGGGAAACCTCATATGAGAAAACTGAGGTTATGTTGGCTGTTGAACTGTTCGCTGAGCTTGGCAATTCTGTTGCAAACGTTTCGTCACCAATGGAGGTGACATCAACAGTGCGTAGTTGAGTGGCGTGCAATAGCGTAGAGTAGCGTAGAGGATCCTCGGTGAGAGTCTCTCTCTCACTTTCTCTCTCTCTCTCTACGCTACTCTACGCTATTGTACGCCACCCAACTACGCACTGCTGATATCACCTTGATTGGTGACGAAACGTTTGCAACAAAATTGCGAAGCTCAACGAACAGTCCAACAGCCATCTGAACAACCTGAGCTACCAGTCTTCAATTCTATAGCGGAAGTTAAGTAATCAGTACATGATCAAGTTAAATTTTATCACGAATTAATATTGATTTCAGCGCTTGAGAAGCGATGGCATTGGATCGGCGCCGATGGCGAGAAGATATGAAGAGGGCGGTTGCCCTGCTGCTGCATGCGGAAAAGAAACGTCGATTGAGCAAGCGACAGGATTCGATGGTGGATAGGCCATCTACGTCGAGCGCATTGTGATGTAGCACATGCGGTCGCGAGTGTCTCATGCAAGCGGGTCTGGTAAGCCACCAGCGTCGTCACGTTGGGCCAACATCGATGAGAAGCCGAGTAAGCCAAGTATGTAGTATGCAAAAGCGCAGCGCTTAGTAAGTTCGCTGCTGCTGATTCAATTTAATACACCTGGTCAATAAGGCGGTTGATTTGGTACGTAGGCAACGTCATCGTTGCATTTGGTCTGTACGTGTGCCTGTGTGTTGAGATTCTTGCATTTCGGCCGTTGGCTGTTGCTTGATCTCCCCGGTGTGGTTGCATTTGATGTGAATGTTGACAAGGTTCCTACCCGTCTAGTACCCACCACCTTGTTTATACTACATTCAGGATAAGGTTAGTCGCTGTTGGAGGGAACGGTGGTAAACCGTCCTTGTGGCTGTGTTACGCCCAAATAATGGTTCCATGCATTCAGTGTGGAACGAGCTGCGACCAATCCCCCGTCTTGTGTACGTCTGGTACGTATGATTCTATGATTAGTAATGTAGGCTTTTGCTCTGCTTGATTAAGAAGTGTAAACCGACTCCATTGATGAAACGTGGCTCCGTCCTCATGCCGGATATGCTGTGTGCAGATGAAACGCTGGGTGGTGCAGCTCACTTCACCCATGACGCAGGCGTCCTGTGGCTGTCCTGTGGCGCACGCAGTGACAGTCAAGTTCGGAATGGGATGTCGTCAGCCATTATATATATATATATATATATATATATATATATATATATATATATATATATATATATATATATATGAAACAACTCTTATATGGTCAGCTGAGTATAGGGAAGCGCATATGGGGAAAGCAAAGTCACGTTACCAGGACATGATTAAACTGAGCCTCTCACGTTCTAATCTTGATTGCAGATCATGGGAATCGAAGGCGGTTCATCGGCGTGCATGGCGCGATCTGATCACGAAGGCAGTTGCCGAGGTGCAGGAGAAAACCCTCATGCATGCGGAGAAGAAGCGGCAAGTGCGGATGCTGCAAGCACCGATGGGTTGTTCTCCATCGACATCAAGCGCATGGTGCTGTAGCACATGCGGTCGCGAGTGCCTGAGTCCGGCACGCTTAGTGAGCCATGAGCGAGGCCACTCGGGACCACTACTGAAGCGATGACAGGTCCTGCAGAGAACGTAGGCAGAACCAGCGTAGCTTTTGTAGATACGCTGCATTCGATTTACTAATCGCGTGCTTGCATGCTAAGTCTCTTTATTTCAGGCGGTGGGTTTACAATTTTGTCCTATTGCTTTTCTTTCTGAAATAAATGTCCACCTGTACGCTCCTCTATAAACCTACACAACGCGCTTAAGCCAATTGTAGTTAATTTCGATGACATTTTCGCGTTTGTGTCATTTCCGTAAAACATACTTTCTGACCCCCTGAACTTATCTCAGATCTTTTGTTAACAACTTATTTCATATGCTCATTAATTTAAGATTTTTGTCACGTTTCCTTATTCATTACTCAATTTCTTTTCTTTGTTAGCTTTCTCTCAAGTGATTGGCTGTGGCTTGATATCCTCCGTGTGGCTGCGCTTGATGTGCATGTTGACAAGGTGCCTACCTGTCTATTACCCACTACCTCGTCCATACTGGCTCCAGGAGCCAGTTGGTCATTGCTGGAGGGACCGGGTGCATGGTTCGTGTGGCCGTGTTAAGATCAAAGAGTGGTTCCATGCACTCAGTGTGGAGCAGACTACGGTCCAGCCACCGCCTTGTGTACTCTTGATTCCTCGAATACAGCGTGCTTGTGTTTGTCTGTGAAGGAGTGTGGGCCGGCTCCGTTGATGAAAACTGGCTCCCATTCACATGCCTGCCGGTCTTATTCCTTCGGGTTTACACTGGATATGGGGTGTGTGGTTGGAGCTGTGGGTGGTGCAGCGCAAGCCAGCCATGGTCCCTCTGTAGGCGCAGGCGTCCTGTGGCTGGCCACAGTGACAAGCAAATCCGAAACCGGATGCCGCCAACCATATAATGTTGAGCAGGAGCTGCATCTACTTCTGTTGAGATAAGCTCTTTAGTTATCTTGTTTAGTTCTGAATTATCCCTGCTCAAGTATGCAGTTAGTATATGCGTACATCACCTATGGCTGCTGACCGCATGCGGGTTTTCACTTTCTAGTTACTACCTTTTGCCAAGCGTTGTGTTCGCTTTTTCTTCTGTTTGCCCTGGCCTAATTTGACGAGTTTTAGCCTGCTTGATCAAGCGCATACAAATATGTGCACTTCTCTAAAGTTCCTCTGCACCCAATGTGCTAATGGTGCTTAATTACTCTGCTTCCAGTATCTTACACACATCGTAAGATCCAGTCAGAGGACGGTAGTCCATGAGGACACTTGAACAGTTTTTCTCTTCCTCCAACTTGTACATTGAGTAACACCGAGAAGTGGCAAGCACCTGTTGTCTTGTTAAGCTAAAACATAAAATGATGAGGAACCATGTGTTCCGAACCTTATTCTACTTTTCTCGTTGTTAATTAATACATTTTATTATAAAGGTTTTTGCCAGCAGTAATTCAAGCCACAAATAAATCGTTTTTTCGCTTTCTGTACTATTACTGAGTGGCATCTCACTACGGTAGTCCATGGTACGAAGTAAGCGACTCGTGCTTTTGATGTATACCGCCCATCTATGCGATCGTAGTCACCGAAGAGCTTATTCGCAAACGAGCAGAGCACAATGAGGGAGAAGTTTTTTCCCTTGAAGAATTGTCACTTCATCAACAAAATCTGGAACGGTTTGTTTGGATGTAGTTGTAATATAAATCCCTCGCAGAATTGAACTTCTAGATAAATTATGTCGGGATCTAAAGATCTTGTACTTACAGAATAACCTCATTTCAAAAATTGGTGAGTCAGTCTTGCATATTTTTACGCCAAACTTCTTCATCTCCTTACGCATTAGAGAACGTTTCAAGGCTGAAAAAATTGGAATATCTAAACTTAGCTCTAAACAATATCGAAAGAATTGAAAATTTGGAGGGTTTTACCACTGTCCGTTTTTGGAAATAAGCATCACCACATTGCAGGTTGTGAGTCCCTGAAGAAACTTGATTTGACAGTCAACTTTGTTGGTGATCTTATTTCTATCGAATGCCTTGTTGATCTGTACGCATTGGAGGAAATGTGACTTGTTTCTTGAATAAATAGCTCTTACCAGACCTGTTTTAGCTACCTTACCGGGAACCCATGTGCAGATTATCCACATTACAGGCACTATGTTATCGCCACTTTACCACAATTGCAGGTACTGTCCCTAACTTGACGGAGCCTACAAAGTACATTTTAAGAAATTAGATGGAACCGACATTTCCAAATCAGAGAGAATTGTTGCGCTGCAAAATCTTGAACAGATTCGTCCAGCTATTAGAGAATGTCAGGAGAAACATTTCAGAAAAAGAGTATTTTCCACCTTTATCAACCAATTCTTTCCCACTTCTGTAGATGAATGAGAAGAATGAGGCAGCGAATCGTCGTAAGAAGCTTCAGGACAAACTGGCCAATTGTGATGGGTATGAGCAGCAAGCCACTTGACATGTTGTTGGATTTAAAACACAACCTGTGTAGCCCCATGATTTCTGATCTACGAATAACACAACTTCTGGAAGAGGTCAGATACACCTATGCTGTTAGACTACTACCGCATACTCTCAATGTAGGCACTATCTTACATAGTCCTCCACAAGTCTACTTCAACTGTGCTCCTAGAGGAGGGCGATGATGTGCTCGTGTGGCCACGATAGGTCATTTTTAGTTACCGTGGATTCACCCTAAACTTTCGGTGCGGTAAACCTGCCATTGTAACGATGATACTCAATGCAGAAACACAAACCGAGTCCTCCTTGCAGACCCTAACAACAACATCCAATCTGCACCAGACAATTTCCATCTGTCAGGTGCGCCCTGAGAGCTAACAGCTCGGAGCATGTTTTGTACGCACATCAGTCGGTTTTATTGGCCATATCTGATGATGCACTTTGGACGAGACTGTGACTACGATGCCCACCTGAATTTACTCGGCAAACCGAATCCGGTATTTAGGGTGTCTCGATCTGTGCTTGCAATTAGGTACTTGTGAAGAATATGCTAAAGCTCGCATTCTGCTGACCCAGTGGTCTGACGTCATGTCCGTGTCCCTATAGACAACAAGTGTTCCTGAAGTTCCTATTGTATTCGATAGCGCTGTCGCTTTTTTCCAGTTAAAAATTCAGGCGACTGATATTTCTAGTTGTGAGTACAACATAACTAGCATGCTAGGCTGGTACGGCGGCTGGTACTAGTTTCGTAAATATGCCTTCATAAACTTGTGCAACATCTCAACCATTAGTCTGGACTACCAAGTTCTTACCAACACCTGACGCGATAGGCGATGGTCGCAGTATCACGCCCTCTAGGACTTTTATACAATGTGCCCAACATGCGCTATTCCAAGGGCAGGTATTTGTTCCCACGTTTTTCAAAGTAACATTGAAAACTCTGCTCTAAAAAATACGAGTTTTCTTCTAACTATGCTGACCACGACACTTAGGTGGGTTGGGTACTGACTAGCATTCACAAACCAGTCAGCAGCTTCAGCGATGAGTCCTTTTCCATCCACCTGTTTCACAGTATCCTTACAATCGCAACATAACACCTCTGCCCTCCTCGGTGCCTGCTTAAAAAGACGCAAAGCTTATCGGCTAGCTGCGTGCAGTATTCTGGTATCATGATTGGGATTCAGCTGCTGCGGTACTCCACTTACTGCCATTTTCTATTCTTTTCGTCTGCTCAGGCTATAACCCAACTTGCCTTATCTTTACGACATGATCTGTCGGTTGGGCCCGGTGAGACCATTGTCCGACTGCATCGTTGTTTGTGTTTGACTATCTTTTTTATTATCACCCAGTAGTGAACTCGACTCAACAGTAAAAGAGTTTTGGGACGAAAAAGTTCCCTTCACTCCCGAATCCCGAGTGGAAACTCATGAATACATGCAGATGCAAGAAGAAGCGAAGACTAAGTACAAAGAGAGGTGAGTTTTGAAGTATCCAACTTTCATTTCCACCATATCCATGAATTTGTTTTTTTGTTCTTCGTCCTGTATCTCAGCTATTTGGAACAATTTAGAGGTGAGTTAACGAACTGGCTAGTGTTGGGGTTCCCAAGACACTTGGGATGGTTTTCCTTAATGAAATACTCAGGCTTTTCGTACAGCGTCCACCTGTTCTTTAGTTGTGGAACCGCCAACTATATAAGGCTGGTGGCATCCAGTTCCACATTTGTCTGTCACTGTAGCCTCCACGAGGACAGCCACAGGATGTCTGCGCCTACAGAGGGACGATGGGTAGCTTGCGCTGCATCACCCACAACTCTATCCACACATCCCATATCCAGTGTAAACCCGAAGGAGTAAGTCCGGCAGGCATGTGGATGGAGGCCACGTTTCATCAACGAAGCCGGCGCACACTCCTTCACAGGCAAACACAAGCAGGCAATATTTGGAGAATCAAGCGCACACAAGGAGGTGGCTGAAGCGTAGTCCGCTCCGCACACAAACCGTGTGCACGAACCACTCGTCGAGCCTATCACAGCTACGAAGACGGTGCACCCCATCCCCTCCAGCAACGACAAACTGTCTTCTGGAGCCAGTATGGATGAGGTAGTGGGTAATAGACAGGTAGGCACCTTGTCAACATGCACATCACCCCAACCACACATCCAATCACTTGAACTGAGAATAACAACCAATATATATCGAATAAAGCATACGTAAATGCTGAGATAAATTTACACTAAAGGAGCGTATACAATAAGTTGGTTATCAGCAAATCTGCGAGAAGTGCAAGATGTCAGAAGAAAACCATTAAATGTCACCAACGCGAAAATGTTAAGGAACTTAACCACAATTAGCTTAAGCAACGTGTGCAAATTCAGGTAAACGTTAGGATGAGGTAAAAAATGCATTGTGACAAAATAGCAAACCTACCAGCTGAAATGAAGAGACTCAGCACGCAAGTACGTGGTTTGTAAATCGCACGTAGCGTACCTACCAACGCTGCGCAGGTTCTGCTTACGTTCTCAGCAGGGCCGGTCGTCGTTTCGATGCTGGTCCCGAGTGGTCTCGCTCGTGGCTAATTAGGCCTCTCTGGCTCAGACACTCGAGACAGCATGTGCTCCAGCACCATGCGCTTGACGTCGATGGAGTACAGCAAATCGGCACCTGTCGCTTCCGCAACTGCCGCTACTTTTCCGCATGCTCGAGGGCATTTTCTTGCACCTCAACAACAGCGTTCATGATCAGATCGCACCATGCAAGCCGATCAACCAACTTCGATTCTCATGACCTGCAATCAAGCTTAGAATGTGATAGGCTCATTTTGATCATCTCCTGGTAAGGAAGCTTCGGTTTCCCCACATGCCGCTTCCCCACACTCAGCTGAGCATTGACAGTTGCTTAGGTATCCGCGTCGAATCCATACGCCACACATAATCTAGCCAGGTCAAGTATTTCAGCAATAGTATGCACTCCACTGCATACATCCCAGTTCAACGCGACACCGTGTCCGTAACTCTGTCGCACCCACCAAGGCGCAAAATCCGTCGCGGACACTGTTGATGAAACCACTCAAGATATCTCATATGTCGCCGGTACATCGTCCAGGTTTTACTGCCGTATAGAGGAACAGACAGCACCATGGATTTCTACATCATCAACTTCGTACCGACGGTAAGCTGGTGGTTGTTCCACACTTGGTACTCTAGCTTCCCGAATGCCTTCGCTGCCTTAGAGATGCGGATATGCAGGTCACTCTGTATTTGCTGGTAACGCGAAAGCACATTCCTATCAGAAGTGGGAGGGGGTTTCCAATACTTCATCACCACTACTGGTTCGCGGGACTATTGTAGATTGCACCTCCACTTGCGGGTCCGCCGTGTTTCAATACTTCAGGCGGGATCTTGTCTGCACCGGTACGCTTGTCGTTTCGCAACTGAGCAAGTGCAATCTACATATCATCTAGTGTCGGTGTGTCGGAAAGGCACGGCTTCATCTCTTGTTGTTGCAGCCCGTGCAACATAGACCAGTCAATCTCTGAACGGTTGTTCAAGAGACAAGAAAAGCGTTTTTGCCAGATCTGCGTTATGTCTGCAGTCTGTGTGCGGGAAGCGCCTGAGCTAATATCGGCAGCGTCCTCGGCGGCTCGAATCGCGGTCCATACACCGCCTTCAAGGAGTCAAAGAGTTCAGCGTGTTTGCGGCGTTCGGCGTAGCATTCCATCTGCTTCTCCTCCGTCTACTATGCATTTTCAGTTCGACGGAGCTCTCGAGTCAGTCGTCGTCGAATTCCGCGAAACTTACTCTTGTTCCCCAAGTCACGGGTCTGCCACATGTGCAGCAAATGCTGTATTCTTCTCACACACCAATGCGCCAATTGTCGCATTGTTCTCATCAAACCAATCAGGCCGCTTACAGTTTATGAGTCCGATGGTATCCTCGGCAGCAGCTGTCACGTGGTCACGAATGTGGTGCCACAGGTCGCCCACTGTGGCTATGCATTCCACATCACACAGGCGTGTAGCCATCGCCTTCTCCAGCTCAGTACTTTTCTCCACCATTCCGAGGGAATGTTAAATTTGCGCCTCCGATTCACAGCGGGATTGCAATACATAGATTTACGACAATATATGTACAGTTTGATCCGCACCAATTTACGATCAATGCCATACTCAGCTTCACGCAGTACAAATATCATGCGCACTTCACGCATGTCACGCTGATGTACGATTACATAGTCGAGCAGGTGAGCGTGACTACCCTGTGGGTGCGTCCAAGTTGCTATATCACTCGCACTCAGTACAAAATGAGTGTTCGTGATAGGCCGTGGGTGGCACAGATTGAGAGCAGCCTGTCACCGTTCGCATTCGCTGAACCAATGCCATGCGGACCGGTAACATAGGTTCACACCGGATACATCACGCCCAACGCGCGTGTTGAAATCACCCAGCACCATTAGTCCGTCGCTCTTTGGCACAGACCGTACCACGGAAGAGAGCTGAGTGTAGAATTGATCACGCGTTTCATCAGGATAACACATAATCGGACCGTACTTGCTTATAAAAGTGGCAAATTTACCTCTTCGGAGTCGTAGGCGAACAGTCAGCAGTCGCGCGCTGATGCCTGTTGTTTCATTTACCAGGTGGCCATGAAATCGATCGGATATTGCAATTTCGACCCCACGTTCATGTGGTGCTGTGGTGGCGTGTTCCACCCAGTAGAACGTATAGCCAGCACCAGCTTCATTGAACTTACCTTGCTCAGCGAGCCGCGTCTCACTGAGCGCCGTGATATTGATGCTTTAGCGCGCCAATTCCATCGCGACCAATGCAGTGCGTCGCTCAGGACGCTCACTCGACTTCCGGCCCAGTAGTGTGCGCACGTTCCGACACTTGATGTTGAGTGCTTTGCGCACATGCATACGATTGCTTTGGTGAGCAATCGCACGCGTGGTTGTGGTTGTGTTACGGAGATTTGCTTGAGATACCCCGCCCGGAGCCCTTGGCTCAATAGCCTGACCCACACGTCGTTGGGGAGCAGATCCAGCTGGGGAATGTGATCGCCCACTAACAAGCCACATAATCTACGTTACATCTGTTGAATGCTTCCACTCTACGTTCCTTAACAAACCACTAATTTCTGAGGCAGATGGTCGCAGTCCGCTTTCAGCCAACAGCCTCCGACACGTCTGGAAGGGACTCTGTATGCAACAAAATTCGCTTAGAAGGTTCGAGTGACGCGTTTCCACCTGGATAAAGGAAACAACAAGTCCGGAACTTGATAACGGTGCTAGTTCCAAATGAATAAATGGCCATCTACAATAAATACCTCAACGATTATGCTTCCAAACTCAGAACAGTTACAAAAACAGCCGTTTCGGTTCGAGTCAGCAAGCCTCCGCTGCACCAAGTCACGGCACCAAGGTGCACGGGCTGTTTATAGAACGGGTCAAGCGGTGAGATTGGTGGATCAAGCAAATGGGATGCTGTGTGGGTAAGTTTCAAGGGGGTTTGAATTTGGCCTGTTTGGAGCGTTCACTAACTGAGTCACAGATATATATACAAAAAGGAAGGAATAGTCAGACAAGCATAATCGGTGGGGCGTGATGGTCATCAAACAACCCTAATTGGTGCGGAGCATGGTGTTAACATTCGCATACAAGTTAGCCAACGGTGTAGAGGCTATTTGGGAGCATGAGAATGCGAGGTACCAACGAGTTTAGAGAACATAGGACGGAACGAGTTGGAGATTGGGTTTCAAGACGAAATGGGGGTATAGTCGAAATGTTTGTTAAAGGAAGGGAATATGGAGGGGAATTGTGATCGCGACATCCGAATGTTCTCCAAAGCACCAGACAGCCGTTTCGACCTTCTGAGTCTTGTCAGTAGTGCACCTCCCACAGACCTCTGCTGGGTTCCGTTCCCATGACTTCCAGTTGCCAGCGGCCTGTGCCACTAAGTCATGTGTGACGGCCGCGAACCTGTTTGACTGACGACTACAATATCTCGTGGCTCATCATCCATTGCCATGCCAGTTCCGAACTGTGCCGAGGACTGAGGTTGGCCCCAGAAGCTAAGACTTTCCGCACGGTGACTTTGTAGTTCACAGCACTTAGATGCTATACGGACTGATTTTTGATTACTAACTGATTACTATGTCTGTTGCCATGCAAACTGCATTTGGCCAAAATTATCCTATAGGTTGTCCACATGCTTGTAGTAAACCTTAAGTAGTGTCTGTTATTACCGTGCCAAGCATTTTCCTGCTTTGTAGCTATCCGCTTTAACCATCTCCATAGCCATCTCTAGCATACTTTTTAACGTAATGTCATCATCCGCCTCCAACGGGCTTCCTGAGAGAGCACTATGCTTTGGACATTGTTTATCCTAACACCCAGAGCTGTTGTTGACGTCTGGTTGTTTAACGACCACAGGTGTTGCAGCTTAAATACAGAAGTATGTGACAAGCATAATCATCTAGCGGATAGAATCAACCGTCCGAGATGTTCCACCTCTCGAATGCGAAGTCCGCAAAACAATCTGAAAGCTGATTGGTTAATCTGGAAACTGTTTCTTCAAACAGCTGCTGTTTGTAATGCTATATGACCTTCTGCACACCTCACACTTAAACACCATTGATTACATTCCAGGGAGAAACCCAAGCGGATGGCGCCGAGGTTGTTCGCAGATGATGGAAGACCACTGAACGTAAATGAACCAAAGTATGCTCCAACCACTAAACCTCTTGTCGCTGTTGCTATCGCAATCGTTTGTCATTCTGCTTTATGTATTTTACTACTACTTATGAGTAGCTTCAATTATACCGATACCGTCAACCATTGTAATTGATCGCGTCGTTTTCGAGACCGCACTGAAGATGATGGTCATGATCATCATAATTTAAGTCTATGCGATTTCTTTTCCTTTACAGAATATCGTTCAAACTTACAGAAGGGCAAGTAGAAGGACAAGACGCATTTATCTTGGATGTTTCTGTGTATCGGTGAGATTTTTTGGTCAATGGAACAATGGTTTATTACGGGTAAAAAAGCATCGCTTAACAAGTCTCGTAGGATGGAAATTATTGCGAAAATCAATTGCATGATAAAGTGTAAAGCGTTGTGGTGGACTCATCATAGGCTTATGTGGAATAGTGGAGTAGTTCGCGTATTAAACGTATCAATCCATAAATCCATTGGTTAGGCGTTTGGCAAGACACCGTTTGATTGCGTTTTGTAGCCCCTGGCTAACAAGTCAAAAAATGAAATGTAATTGAGACAATGCATCGTCAACACGTTTTGTAAATATCGCCAAATTGGGAGCAGAGACGACATAATTAGGGAGGGCGTTCCAAGGCTGACACACGCGGAGGGAAAAGAAAGTTTTACGGCATTCAAGCCTGCTATACTGAATTGTCAGTTTCAGAGGGTGACCTCTTAGTTTAGCGTTGTGGTTCAATTCCAGCAACGGACGGCAGATGCGGTTTGGATTCTTCAGAATTTGGTAAACTATTATGAGATCCCCCCGCAAAAGCCGATATCGACTGCTGTACATTCTTAGAGATTTCAGTCTAAGCCGATAGGCCAGAAGAAAGAGGACCCAGACGTTCTTGGTTGTCCTTCATTGAGGAGTCTCGAGAGCAACAAGATCCTGTTTTTGCCACGGCTGCCACGCCTGAATAGCATATTCCACTTGCGGTCGCACGTAAGTGTTAAGCATTTGGGGAAAAATTGAGGGTTCAAACCGACCGAAGGCTCTGCGAAGAAGGCCGAAGTGTTGATTTCCGGTTCTCGTCGCCTTCTCTGCTTGTTTTGAACACCCGAGATCTTCCTGTACCAATACACCCAGGTCACACTCCTGAGAGACCTTCTCCAAAGTGTGGTCTCCAAGCTTGTAAGCGCTCACCAGTTGGTGACGCAGATGTATCACCTTGCATTTAGCTATGTTCAATTGAAGCATGTTCCTCTTTGACCATTCGTAAATGCAATCTAGGTCATGTTGGAGCAGATCGTGATCTGGCTTGTTACTAATCGCTCGCCATATCTTGACGTCGTCGGCGCAAAGTAGGAAATTTGGGGAGCTAACTGATGCCAGGTCGTTGATAAATACCAGGAATAAGCGCGGTCCCAGTACTGAGCCTTGTGGAACACCATATTCCACCTCAATTGGGTTAGAAAGTGATCCCCTGACACGTACTTGAAGCTTCCGTTGGTGACAGAAGCTGCCAATCCAACCAAGTACAGGATCTCCGATTCCGTAACTCTGTAGCCGTTGAAGTAGGATGCGGTGATCAAGGCGGTTGAAAGCTTTGGAGAAGTCCAGATAGATGACGTCGACTCCGACCCCATTATCAGCCACTTCCGTCCAAATACCTCGTGCAATCAGTAGGTTGGTGGTGGTGCATGACCGGTGTTGACGGAAGCCATGCTGTTCCGGTACCAAGATGTTGCATTTTTCCAGGTAGTCCGTTAAAGCCTCAGCGACGACTGCTTCCATCACCTTCGCGAGCACAGGGAGAAGAATCACTGGATGATAGTTTGCAGAATCGGAACGGCTACCGCCTTTAAAAATAGGGGTGATAATGCCACACTTCCCCACAGTGGGGACTTGTTGTTCATCAAAGCACCTTTGGAAGAATTGTGACAGTGTTTCAGCTGGCTTGTTGGCCACAGCCTTCAGTGTGAGTTCGAAACCAGTTTGTAAACTCGGCAAGCCCTCAGTTCATTCGGAACTCTAGCGAGTTTCTTGCCTGTCCTCAGTGAATCATCGCATGGAATGCCGTCATGCGACGCAACCCGTACACAACCTAGCACTGTTGGCTGAACCAATCAGTTTCTTATTCCTGACTGTATCCCGCACACTCTTGAGGCCGATGTTTGTGCGGTCAAATGGAACTCCATTGCTTGTGCTCAACACCCTACCATAGTCAGTAGGTTGAACTGAAATGCTCTATCATGTACTTCATTACAATTGTTAGTTAGCGAAATTTTTTGAGATAATCTTACACTTTCGTGCAGAACTGGAGGTAATCCCGTACAGACGAGTGTCACTTTTATTTACTGCATCACGCATGTTCGATCCATGTTTCTTTCTATCATGTTTCCACAGTCACATGGAGACTACCTTGTTGGACTGTGATGTTCAACCCAATTACGTCCGGGTCAGTTTGAAGAAAAAGGTAGGCACTGGTAGCAATCATTCCAATGGCTATGGTTACAACAATGCATGCCCTGCATCCACCGCTTTCCTTGTGCAATTGACTCTCAGTAGTTTTCTAATTTCAATTGCAACAACGGACTGGGTTATTTCCGTTTCGTTCAAAAGGAATTGTACGACTAACTCGCGAGACACGGTCCAGATTTTTGGTTCAGTCAAATCGTGGAAGGGGGTCGTAGAATTGTTGATTATTTAACCAAATGTACAAATTACGCGAAATCTTAATTTGGCAATGCACACGTCGTTTAACAGGGTCAGTCAGTCCCACGAACAGCACTGTATCCATCGCATGCTGGTTGGTAGTTCGCGAAGATATTACAAGTTTTTTGTCAGTGGCATGCTGGCATATACTTGACTTACGGTATAGTCTGTCAGTGCTGCGGGGTGTGAGGTAGCTGGATGGAGAGCACAACGATGCATGCAAGAGCGGTTTAAGCCAGAAGGATAGTTTTTTCCTCATGTAAGAAGATCAACGTCACATAGTTGTTATATGGAAGCAAGACACTAATCAGCCATGTGTATTCGAAAATTTCTTCGCAGCAATTACACGATCCTCATGGGAACGGACAGATTAGAAGAACAAAACAGTGAACAGTTTGACCGATATACCACTTGAGACGACCGCTATGGTGATATCAGTTTTAACAAAGTAATGTGTCATTGATGGCAAAATGTGATACAAGTCCATGATGATGTGTTCCACAGCACATGATTAGTAAAGATGGATACGAAAGACATGTATGTTCCCTATGCATACCATGTTCGAGATGGTTCTTCCCCATAGTTTGTCAGGCCTCTGTTCCCATATATTGACAGTGGGCCTGATAATATTTCGGGATCCGTAAGGGAGGCGGTACGCAAAAACTAGCTTAAGAAGGCGCGAAATTAATTACCTGGTACATCAGTGTTTACTGGTTTTCTGTTTCATGCGTCTGCACATCTGTGACAGAAGTAGTAATAGTTGCCATCGGAACTAGCACACTGCAAAATGATTGAAAAAGAACAGTGTAACGTTTGTGAAGTTAACTAGGATGAGTACGCTGTTGACCTTTCTTCATAAGCTTCTAGGTGAACATAAGAGTCTTGATGTAGGTATGGCCAGTTAAGAAAAACTTATAACAGTGGCCGGATGAGTGAAGCTGAGAACTACGTTTAACACTCCTCCTCAGCCGCCGTATTGTTATGGAGGCCGTGAGGCGGCTATGGCCGGGTAAGGAGAGAATATGATAAAGATTGAAAGAGTGAGCATAGAAATTCATTTTGCTTTCTTTTTTGGCTTCCGTAGTAACAAGTGAACATTTTTAGTGTACCACCGATAGATATTACGGGCATGGTAGTATATGCCACTTGGTCACTTCGGATAGATCTCCGTTTCTGCGATTTTAAGCTTGAAGACTTGCATATCTTTCGGAACTGTGAGAAAGTTGTCTAACTCCAAATACAAACCGCTTCAGTATCTCCTGTTGATATTTCCTGTTTCATACATCTACTCAACAACGTACTTCCATCCATTTTGTGCTCTGAGTGGGTCGATTTGCACTACATAAATGCCACGGGTATCTTTGAAGTTGGCCCCCGGAACATCATTGTTTCAGACAAGTGATCAGGGCGTGACGTCTGTGTTGTGGAGTTATAATTGTATTCCCCAATAACAGCAGGGGAAATTTATTCGTTGTGGCTATCAGCGAATTTCAGCTTGGACTCATATGGAAAATCAGGACCACGAACCGTTCATAAAAGCTAGGAGCCATTGTTGTTTTTGATGAATTAGAGGATTAAAGAGGAATAGTAGGGGATCTCAAAGAGTACATAACTGTTCATTGAAGGATGAGTAGCCTAGGGGAATACAATCGCATTTTGTGTGACTATTTAGTAGTCGCAAAGAACAACTTTTTGTACGTCGGTATAACAGTTTGATACCGTACTGTGAGACAGCCAACTTTAACCGGTGCTCAGGCTATATATCTCGTCGCTTTACCCTCAACTGCAGGTTTTGCAATTGGCACTCCCAGAGGAAGTCCAACCGGATCGGTCCGAAGCGAAGCGTTCACAGACCACTGGACATCTGGTGATCACCATGCCAAAAGTAATCGGGCTAGTATTACTACCTGATAGTATCCATATTTTCGATAACTTCTCATTAGAGTTGTGAAGCTCTGAATTGGTTAAATTCTTTGAATTTGGTTTATTCAGTGAATTCGATAAACTATCTGATAGAGCACTGTGATTCAACCATTTCTTTATGGCCACCTTTATGTTTGCAGACGTCCTTTTTAACCTTCAAACCAAGGGTCTTTGTTAGCCATATCAGAAATAAACATATTTATCGCAGTTGTGTATGGGACGTACCACATATTACTATGGCCGCAATTGCATCACAATGACGTGAATATCTGAAAGTTCACTGCTGAGCATGAACCCCCAGATAACGGTTTACTGATGGGGTTGCGGTAATTAGACGAATTTCAAATCCAAGGAACGCTGCTAACATTCGGTATTTTCACATTTTATTGTGTATTTCGTTTAACTGAGGACCATGAGGCTAAAGCTAACCGATACAAACTTGGTGCTATCTCCTCAGTCATCGAACCCGTTAGCTACGAACCATGCGTCATCAGATTTGATTTGTTCTCAACATGCAGATTTTGTGACCCACTTAGGTGGCAAAGACCTTACCTACGAATCCCTCGGTGTTCCTAATTGTTGTAGGTAACTCAGTTGCTAAGAGCCGCTTGCACCAGAACACAAATGGATTCACCCCGGGCGCATCGTAACGCCGTCCAACGAAAGTGAGTTACTTTGTTGTGCATATGCAAGCCATCTGCGTGAAATCGACCGCTTGAAGTAACTACGTTGCTACACCGCGGAATTCGAACTAAAACATCACTGAAGCAATTTAACTCCGACGGGTTTCAAGCAGGTTCAAAGATCCCATCTACATGTCGGAAGGGAGTACAACGATGTGTCCTACTCAAATTGTTGTTCACCGAATTGTTCCCTGTTTTATGTATGAACTTCAGATAGTGGTCCTCAATGGGGCAATCGACAGCAAGCGCGCAGACAAGATCACCTATCTATGACACACCGACGGCCTCCTTCCTTCTTCGTCAGCCCGTTCGTAGGGGCCGTTGTAACCATCTCCTTTCATCTGCCGATATTGCGACTGATACACCGATCCGGTTACTCTGCGTCTGATATTACTTGGCGCCAACCATGTACACAACACGTGCTTCAGTCAGCTACAAGTGAATGGGTTTTGATGGAGCATTTTGCTGCGTTAACAGCACTGGCGGGAAAAGTGAGCTGCACTAATTGTAAAAGTGCGGGTAGTATAGTTTACTTGCGCTGGCAGAGGAGACAATATGGTTACATCACGCAATGAACAGCCGAAAGTATCTTAGTGACAGCTTCATGAGGGAACTGTTGATATCGCTCTTTAGATAATTAGGGGAACCGAAAGTAACCTCAAGGTCGCCAGTCCTTCGACAATGGGCAATTAATCAGTTTCCGCCTCCTTCCTCCCAAAATCAGCCCAGGCTTTCAGTTGTTCATCATCTTGAGTTCCAGTGAATAAACTCTCCCGCAGTACTCTGAAACAGACAGAGGAATCTCAGATGCTTATCAGCTGCAAAAGAGTCATTTACCATATATTAGCGAATATAAGCCAATCCATGGATAGGCCGACAGCATGACTTTGCAATACGAAATTTGTCCAGTCGTGAGTCCCCATATTAGCCGACCCCTGCAAAACCTATTGGTAAGTGCTTTTCTATCATGTATTTTCCGATGTTATTGTGTGTGATGGTGTTTGATTCTGTATATTCCCGTATGTTTCCGTTACTGCTACCCGTCGCGAACGTCAAATGTGCAGCATACCGAGAATTGTTGCCACAAAATTAACGTGTATAGTTGAAGACATCCTGCCAGCAGTGCTGCGTGAACACCGTACAAAAAGAGGCACTTCAGATCCATTTCTGGAACACCGTCCGTCACTGTCGGGTGGTGTTAAAGGAAGATAGTGGCAGAGGTGTGCAGTGAATTCCTGGGTAAACTTTGCAAGTGACTTCTTGCAAATTGCGCGTAACCTTTCTTCTAAGCCGACTACCCACTAGAGAAAAGAAAAATTGCTCAAAAATCATCAGCTTTTATTCGGTAATATACGGTACTTACAAGGTTTCAAATGAACAGGAAATGCAGCGGAGAATCCATACAAAAGGTTTTAGGAATAAAGTTGAAAAATTAAAACAGTTATGTTTGTGAAATCGTGTGAAACGTCGTCAAGAAAATTGCTTTAAATGTATATACGGTCAACAGATAATCATGCACGTTGGTAGTCTTGAGGAAGCTAGTGAATGCGGTTCGACCCTTCAAAATCCAATGATATGCAGAAAAAATGTGTGTAGGCAGATGGGGTGTTAATTCTTCATACCATACTTTGAGTCACGGAGTGTGACCTCAATGGTAACATCACAGTTGTGTTAACCGAAGGCGCAGGAAATTAAATAACTAATGTCAGCCAACTGGACACTAACGCACAAACTATCAAGTAGTTACAGCCTAACAGACATTGTACTCTAACAAAGTGCATAAGGCGAATTAAAGTAACATACTGAAATAAAATTCCAGTCTGGAGAAAAGGTTAGTTGTTCCGTTTAAAAACCGCTTGTTTACCGCTGTTTAAAGAATACAAGCTGGGGATTTCCAAGTAAGGACGTAAGAAGATAAGTGATACGTTGGAAAAGATGCTAATAAAGGGTACCCAAATGTTTAAGTCTTCAGAAAGCGTGGACAAATGTGAGACTCTGTTTCGACGCACTCAATACCCTAATGTTTGCATTAGCGAATATTGTGTTAGAGGAACCAGTAGAAATTCAAATAAATACAACTTCATCGAAATATGGTCAAAACATTAAAAGAACTATAGCCTGTCAACCATCTGATTGTTTTTCCAATTGACAAGTAATATCTTGAAAATCGTATAACGCAAAGTAAATTGCGACTCATGAATGTCAGATATCACTGACAGCAAGTAATCGTTGTGGGAACCTCACATTGGAGAAATATATTTCCAGCAATGCTTTGAGCTGCTGCAATGAGTCTTCTTCCAAACATTGGCCACCCTAGGTTCGCAGCACAGACAGTAGGGAACTCGCTTCATGTCCAGCACCATAAGCTTATACCTCTGTCCGCGGATACTGCAGGGTGTTCCCAACTGGAGCAGTGACCTCAGCATGGGGAATTCACCAAGATGCAGAATGCGATAGATCATTGTGAGGTTGACATACACTCGACGAAAAGACAGGGTGTGCCTAGTCCCTCGCATCTGTCTTCATACGGCGAACTTCCTTAACGGGGGGAGCTTGCTTACAATGATTTGAATCCGTTCGATCTTCTATGCCTCGCTTCTGGTAGTCAAGCAGTAGGCGGGAGAGCTATACTCTAGCACTGGTCTTATGATAGAGGGGAAGAAGCGAGTGGCAACCTCTTCAGACCAGATACAGAAGGCACGTTAGGGCAACCGAAGCTTGCGTAGTCAATTTCAGTATAGCCTGTCCGTATTGTCAACGGACTTCAAATCGCAACGCGAAAGTACCTCTAGGTCCTTCACGGAAGATGTGGTGTAGCAGTTGGTCGTCAGTGGTGTAGCTTCGGCCGTCACCACCCTTCCCAGAGCTCATCAACACCGACTTGGTTGGATTGACCAGGAAGCGGACTTCTGCAGATCACATAGAGAGGCGGTTGAGGTCTTACTAAAGCAGATCGCAGTTTTCAGAATCGCGATTTTCTCTACATCTACAGATTGTTTGGAAACTTGGCACACGACGATCGAAGAAGTTGTGGTAGATCTCTGCTATAGATAAGGGACAATTTAAGCGTAAGCATTGTACCTTGGTGTAAGCTGATGGTAAAAGGATACCAGTCGGTTAAACGGTCATCGACCTCCGCGTTCGCCCAACGACAAGGTCCTGGATCCCCTGATGTAGTGATCCGCTAACACCTCAGACACAGCTTGTCGTGGTGGACCTCATGGTATACCAGGTTGCACTGCTAAAATCGATGTAGATTACCTCCACAGACTTCTCTTGGTTCACTGCCTGAAATCATTCATGCTGCTTCACCAGCAGCTTGGAAATGTATGGGCCGCCCAGCACAAAACTGTGATGTGCCCGTGTCAGCATTGGAGCAGCTGTGGTAAACCCTTCTCCACGATCTCGGTAACCTTGGCCAAAATAGGTATTGGACAAATCGGCACGTAGTTATCTAATTTACTGGCCTCACTGCTTGAACAGTTCCATGCGCTCGACAAGCACATTGAGTTGCTGAACAACTCAGTCACGGCAGGCGAGATGATAGCCGATAAAGACTAGAGGATCAGTGGATAGAGTCCGTCAGGGCCAGCAGATTTGGTGTCTTCAAAGTTAGCTGGTAGTTGATGGATCACTTCAACACGGCAAACCAGACTGTCATGTTCGGTACAGACAACTGGTCATTTACAAACACAGAAGCATAGTGCGCCGCCAATGTGAACGCACGCGCAATACCGGAGGTTAGGTACTGTCCATCCGAGCCTTATAGTACTGGCGATCACCTGCAGGCTTCAGACGTAGGCAAATATACCTTTAGGGGTGGTCTTTGCGGCGCTTGTGAGAAGACCTTCGAAATGCCAGCGCTTGCTCGTTTTCGCACTGTTGCAAACATTCCGCTGCTTTTGATATGTCAAGTAGTCGTTGGGAGAACCGGAGAGAATAAAGATGTCCCACAGTTTACGCCGTCGCCGAGCCATTTTGACCTACTCCTTGTCGAACTAGTGTGGCTTGACTGGTCCAACTTTCGGACACTTCAATGGTACAAACCGAGAACGGAGTAATACCAGTGTTCCTCCAATAACAGTCCAACAGTCTTTCACAGATACAACTTGCGGTAGAGACCAATCCACTTGGCTCGCGTATCGGGTCAGACCGTGGAAGTCCGTTTTCCAGAAGTTATAAGCTGGCTCCAGTGTATTTGAATATTACAGTGGCAGCTCCCTTTCAGAAGTCTGAACTGAGTGGTCGCTTGTTGCCAGGTGCTTCAGGAGCTGAACGTCATACGCATGTTGTTCGCAGCATGTTAACATCAACTCTACTCATGACAGATTTGAGCGCGGTGTTTTAGACGTCGGTTGGTAGATGTGTTATGCTTCCCCCGTTTCAGGCATCATTTCAGCGGACTCTGGTTCAGCTACATAATACCCGGAGATAAGCTGAACTTCAGGTCAGTGTATTCCAGGACGGTTGAAATCGCCCATGAGTAGAAAATAGAACGACTCATGTGATTCCAAAGATTCTATAGCTTGTTCAAACAACGGATCATGACAGTGCGATAAGATATACCCACGAGCAGCTCTCCACACCTGAGGTGGGTCGAGCACCACAACTTCTCACATATATTAACTTCGCTTCGGTTAGGCGTTCACAAGTCTCCCACATTGAGAAGACCGGATGTGCAGCCAACAGTAACTTTATGCAGGTTAAAAATCACTACTTTATAAGCCCCGCTGGGTGCTCTGACAGGCTATCGAGGACGTTAACGAAAATGGGCAGTTGGTGTTCTTACAGACAAAAGCATGTACTTATACCAGCGATACGAAGCCTAAACTAAGCGTGTCGTACGAAACCTAGAGTAGAAACTACGAACCAATAGACCTAGACTTAGTGCATGGTCTGGGCAGAAGAGTAAAACGAATTATCCGGTAACCGTGGTTCTATAAGGCAAATTAAATACAGTACATGACTTACGAATAGGTTTT